GCCATTCAATTCATTCTATCATTGTGATATGCGCAATTTAGTTTATTTATATGTTTCATTGATTTTTATAAGTGACATTCAATTCATTGTAATAGATTGTAGCACTCAATTGTGTTTTTTTTGTTTTTTTGGAAAAAAGTAGACAATGTCTCAGCAAGGCGAACCAATGTCGACGACAACTAGTGGGTCCTCAAGGGCACGTACTCCTAGGACAGGGAACAAAATTCCTAAGGAACGGTTCCGCATAACAGCGGTGGACGCCGTAGGGTTACCGACATCTCCAAGGAAAATATTGAGCCGATTTAGGTCTATCTGCGGGGTCATAGGGAGGCAAAAATTCAGTATTCTGCAAGACGACTTCAAGCTCGTGCCGGCCGCAGAGAAGGACATTGCTTGGCTAACGTTCAAGGAGAGCTTTGATTATCCTGCGGAGCATGAGGACCATCTCAGGCGGGCTGCTTTCAAGGTTATGGGCACTGCTTGGAAGAACTTCAAGACTAAGCTAGTCGGCGAGTTCGTCTACAACCCGGCAAATCAAGATCCAAGAGAGAAATTTCCTTGGATCACGGAACAGGTCTGGTCGGAATTCCATGCGAAGAAGTCGACCCCCGAGTCCAGAGCTAGAAGCGAGGCATATTGCTTGCTCCAGACCGGGAACCAGCATCCGCACCGGCTTGGTACCACCGGATATGCCGGTAAGGAAGAGGAATGGCAGCGTGAGGATGAAGAAGCGGAGGAATCGTGCACACCGTTCGTGTTTGGCGATATCCCACACCCTCGGGCTAGGAACTGGGCCAGGGCTAGGTACCAGAAACATGATGATGGCACAATCTTCATGCCAAATGCAAAAGATCAACGAGTATATGAAGCTATAGTAAGTGTCTAATCAAACTAGATGTTCGCATTGTTTCCCATCGTGCAGTTTATTTGACCCCACTAAATTGTAATACAGAAGGAGTTGGTTGCCGAGCAACAAGCCTCGCAAGAGGCCTGCTCTCAAAGACGCGAGGACGACCTCCTCACGAAAGCATTGGGCAACAAAGAACACCGTGGACGGACACGGGGCGTTGGGTCTTCTGTTCCCTAGAAGTATGGATTTCCAGACTACGCGTGGCAGTACAAGAAGCGGACTTCCAACAAGGCGGAGAAAGATGCACGCCTTGAAGCCAAGATCCGGGAGTCGATACGAGCTGAGCTGACATCTGAATTCGACGAAAAGCTCGAGTCGATGAGGGCCAAGATTAGGCAAGAGATCCGAGAAGAGCAACAGATCCCCCAGGCCGCCGCTGCTGCTGCGCACAAAGAGTTAGGAAGTCCCACCGAAAAACGCAGCAGTTGCGCATCAACTGAGTTGGCGGAAAATCCAACATCGGTCGACAGCGCCGTCGACACATAACGGTAACCGTGAACTTACTCAATACATGAAAGACGTAACGAATCCATATGATATATAATACTCTAAAAAAATTGATTAATCTATTGTAGGAACCAACGAGCTGCACCCTCACAGTTAGGGTGATGCCGACCTTCACTGTTCCAGCAGCCGAGGGACTTGCGTACAAGCCGACCCCAGAGACAAGAGTGCATGGAGCGCAACTCAGGGCCGACTATGCAAAAGTTCAAGTCGACTCGGTGAAGCCCGAATACGAGCTGTTCCCTCTGAAGTATCCACCGAACGACAAGGTCCTCTCACTAGGAAATGCCCGTGGTACCTTCATCCAATGGCCCAAGGACCTCATTGAGATCAGGGTTACAGCGAGGCCAACCACTGCACCAGGCGGTCGTCCACCAAAGAGACCCGCCTCTGCTCCTTCAGCCCCTCCTGCTCAAGATCGTCATGCACAATCTTACGATGTGCAGTTGCAGTACGACACGGATTTTGGGGAGGACCGAACGGAGGCCGACAGCAAGGCGATTCATGAACCCCCACCGATGAAGAAGAGCAGGAAGGCACACTCTTCCCCTCAGAGAATTACTCTCGATAAACCCGAAGCAAAGGGGAGAGGAAGGGGAGGAAAGGTGCAGGCCTCGCTTCTAGCTCCAAGAAAGCTAGATCTGGGCAAGGGCCAGGAAGAGACTAAGGGCAAAGAGGTCAAGAAGAAATATGTCGCTCCACAGGAGTTCCAACTAGGCATGCCATTGGTTGGAGATGACGTGCTTGCCGCAATGGGCACCGCTTGCAAGGACCTTCACTTATACTACATGGAGAAATCTAACGCCAGGAAGCCAAGTAAAGCTACCGATATCCTTGGACAGCACGATGGAAAGCCATTCCTTGGTCCAACAAATTATATTGTGGTCGACTTCAAGGATCTTTTCGACCTCTACAGGCTCCGAGCGGTGGACACGAGCCTCCTTAAGTGCTACTCCTTGTAAGTATTGTCGCCCAACTCATTCTGGTAATAACAATCGGTTTAATTTGCTTACAAGATCATTGATCCTGTGTGTAGGTTAAGTTGGCAATGGTGTCAGAAGCATGCACCGGAAGTTGCCTTCCTTGATCCACAAGTGGTCACTGTCACAAATCTCCAGAATGACCGTCAAGGAATGGTCAACTACATCTACGACACCTTGTGGTCCCGCCGAGACAAGGAGTACATTATGTGTGCCTATAATCAATAGTAAGTGTGTTAACTAAATATACACAACAGCATGACACATTCCTTAAGTACTTAATTAACTTTCACTATATTAATGCCGCAGTGCCCATTGGATCCTTCTGGTCATAACACCTAAATAGAGTACATGTCATTACCTGAACTCCAGAATTGATAAGAACGCATATGATTGGACCCCAATTCAACTAGCGATAGATGAAGCGTGGGCCCAATACGTGCAAAGAGGAGGCCTCAGGAAGACAGGACATGACACCCTCATCCACAAAAAAGACTTCCCGGTGAAGCAACAAATAGGTGACCAGTGCGGATTCCATGTGTGCCACAACATGCGACTTCTGTATAGAGAAAAGGTGAAGACTTTGGCTGAGTTTGAGGTCGGTGGTCTCAATTGTGATAGACTAACTACATTTTAGTACTTATATATGATCGATCAACTAATCTGGAATTATGACAATGTAGGGCACAATAACCAAGTCTCTGACTACCAGCTTTGAGGAGGTTCGCGAGGAGATAGCCAGCTTCATCCTCCGCGAAATAATTAACCCCAAAGGAATGTTTAGGCTTAAACTAAAATGATGAACAATGTTGAACTTCTATGTTTAGGCAATGATGAACACTTATTATGCAACTGTGGTGATGTAACTGTGATGCTTATATTTATGTATATATTTCATATGTTTATGTTAAGACTTGCTAAATAAATATTTGATCCAATTAACTCGGTTTTGCAGGTGAAATATGATAAATATTTGAATGGATGTGAAATATGTGAATGGATGTGAAATATGAGATGGCTGTGAATGTGTGGTTGTGTGAAATATGTTGATGTCTGTGTATGTGAATGCATATGTATGAATGGGTGATGCTGGGGAGCTGGGGATATTGGATATCTGTGTTTGTTTCTGTCATTTTTGCAGCGGGCATGGCTAGCAAAGGCCTGAGGCTAGCCAAAAAACAAAATTTATTTTTTTTGTGGATTATAGTCATCTGTGACGGGCCATAACTAAATGCCCGATTGAGATGAGATCATCTGTGATGGGCTCTAGCTTAGGCCCGATTGAGGTCAGCAGTCATCTGTGACGGGCTCTAATTTAGACCCGATTGAGATCATCAGTCATCTATGACGGGCTATAGTTTAGGCCCGATTGAGATGAGTATCATCTGTGACGGGCTCTAGTTTAGGCCCGATAAAGGTTAGTAGTCATCTGTGACGGGTGCTAGTTGTGGCCCGATAGAGATAGGTCATCTGTGACGGGCTGTAGTTTGACTGGTCATCTGGGTCAAAGCTATCGGTGACGGGCTTTACTTAGGGCCCGATTGAGATATATTCATTCGTGACGGCCGTTTGCCCGATTGAGATAACTCTTCACATCAGTGACTTCTAGCCTGTGATGGATGTTGTGCCCGATTGAGATGGGGCTTACCGTCCGATTGAGATGAGGGTATCCGTTCTAGTGTAAACTTAACACAATTGCTCAAATTTTTGAGGAAATTTAATTTTGGGAGAGAGTACATGCACAAGTAGGTGCTTCCGATAATCTCGAGTGCGTTCAATTTATATTTGAAGTATCATTAGAAGTTACTAAATTATGGTGCTCGATTGGTGAACATGACTCACTGCTACATAAAGACACATGGAAATTGGCACTATAGGTACCACAAGTACTAAAACTGACCCCTATAATTTTTTTCCCACCTTCACGGGCTGAAAACACACGAAAAAAAAACCAACACCTTTAAATGATTATACGATTATAGGTGCTGGTTCTATAGATATGGAAAGTACCAGCACCTTTAAGCGGTTATAGGTGTTGGTACTTTGATATGGATGTTAACCAAGCAACTAGCACGTCTGTTTGAAACATGTCTACAAATCATGTCCAAACTTTGGTTTTGATTTCTGGAGCATCAAGGCACGGTAAAGAATATTATTTTAGGTGGATATCTTCTACACAGTATCACCATGTTAAATTATCAAATGCAAAAATGCCAAGCATATTTTGATCTCCATTGGCAAATTGTAGTTCCATCATATTTACCATAAGAAATAAATGTGATATGATCTCCCAAAACAATATATATATATATATATATATATATATATATATACACACCATATCAAATAAATTATATCCGCATTTATATTTTTCTTGGGTGCATGCATGAGATATGTGCATTAAATATTTGCCACTTCCAAGTATTCAAAATTAAAGCATGCATATCCATCTTAGATGCAGGGTGACAATTAAATGACTAAGCAACACCCTTTAGGCCATCTTCAATTCTCAACGTCATCTAGTGTCCATAGCATTAAATACACAGACATTTATGCCATACTTCCACACTACAAATAGCCATCCACCCTTCCTCTTCTCCTCATCCAACACATCCAATTCAACTCATGGAGGCCAAGGTTGTAGCCACTGTGTTAATCGTTCTCTTCCTCACCCTTGGTGAGTTCACTATCTGCTACACAATAATGCCTTGCCATTATCACTGCCAATTCACAATTAGCATGACAACAAACTATTAATTCTACAGTGACTAAGCAGGCAGTGATACTGCTGAGCATCATCATCGATTATCAGATCATACATAAGTACTAATTACCTTGTACTATTCCTAATCAAGTATTGATTGATTTGTTTCATGATTTGTGATGAGCAGGTGGTGAGGCAGCTGCCAAGATATGCCATGATCATAGCCAAACCTTCAAAGGGATGTGCTTCCATACCTCCAACTGCATCGCCTGCTGCACCAACGAGGGATACACCGGCGGCTACTGCAAACCATTTACATATAGATGCATGTGCACTAAAGATTGTGGAGGGGACAGTCCACCTGATGATCCACCACCGGCGATGCCGACATCGCCGGCGGCGACGACGACGGTGGCCTGATCGCCGGAGAGGACGGCAACATATGGTTACATTGTGTGTTAGTTGTTTGTGGCAATATGAATCAATTGGTGGAAGTCTAATGATGAACTGAAGAGAATAATTGGATGTTGATGCACATATGTTGCAACTCAAGTTTCTTGGTTGAAGATAGAATGGCATGCAATGGAGAATAGTGAGATGTGTTTGCTGAAATTGACTCTTAATTAAACATCATAAATAAACAAAGTAAATTTGACTTAAACATGGCTCAGAAAGTGAAAATAAATGGATGATTGAACATTAAATTGTATGGCCTAGATCGATTTAAATTAGATAGGGGACTGACATGTGGGGCTAGGGGGTATTTCTGACCTCTCACACCGTATCTCTCTGATTCAACCGAAAATGTATATTTTATAAGTGTGGTGTCCAACAACAAATATTCACATTTCGAGAGTGTATTTCCCAAAAGATTGACTTTTGTCGTGTCCTGAAGTTAAAACTGTAAAGTCATAGTGACCTGTAGCAAAATTTATCAAAAAAATAAGTTACTATAGATGTTTGATTGCATAACATGGTTTGATATATAACTTGATCAACAAGGCACTGTAGACGTTTTAAAAAAATAACATGATTAAAAAAAGTTATGCTTCAAACATCTAATAGTCATTACTTTTTAAAAAAAAAAGTAGTGGGGATGATACACAGTGAATCTACTACCATCCCACCACCAACTCCCTCTGTTAAACATCCAAAAATAAGGATGTGTTTGGTTCGTGGGATGGGTCGGGTTAGGATGCGTTGGTCCTATTTTTAAGGTTGGAGGGATGTATGGAGTGGGATGAACCCAGATGGGAATATACCTCTTAGATCCAAATCCAATTAGTCTGCCAAAATCGGCTGAACCAATCGAACCCACTTCGACGGAGCGAATTGCGTTAGCATCTCAGCGAGGATCCGCTACTCCTGCCGCCACCATGGGCCGCCCGTCCCTCCTCCGCCGCCTGGCCACCGGTTACTGCTGCTCCTTCGCGCATGTAGTCCGCTAGCCCACTCAGGCCATTCATCTACCTCAACGCTAGTCAATGCCGCTCGAGACAGTCGTCCGCTTGCCTGTCAGTCTACACTGCCTCCTTCCACCTACTCGCTCGCCCGCTCGCCGAGTCACCAGCCGCGCCTCTCTCCACCCGCTCGTGAAGCTCCTCCTTATGCCTGCTCGCTCACCAGCGCACCACTCCTCCGTCCACACACGCCGCCGGTCACTCCCACACTGCTCCTCCTTCAGCCGCCCGCTATTCGCCGCCCCTCCTTCCTCTGCGAGTTGTGAGCCCCTCTTCTCGTCGGCCACCACCACTCCTCCACTTGCAGGTCGCCGCCAGTCTCCACTGCTATCCTCCACGAGCTGCAATCTTCGGGTTCTCTCTACTCGCTGGGAATAAACGTCGTGCTAACGTGGCTCCAAACGTAATTCATCCCATCCCTGCCTCATCCCTTCTACCAAACAAAAAACTAGAATCACCCCGTCCTACAAACCAAACAAGCAAGTAGGGATAATTTCATCCCTAAAATCAGGGATTGTTTCATCCCATCCCCATATAGTCCCCAAATCAAACATATGCTAAGAGAGCATAGGGCTAAAGGGCTCACCTATGACCTTTACGTTGATTATATTTTTTTTCTTCTAATACATATTTTTTAAAATTTCTAATAACATATAGTCATTCAACTAGTGTCTACAAAAATCCTTTCCAAATTGTTTTTCAAGTTATAGAGCATCAAAGCAAGCCAGCATAGTAATTTAGCTTATGGAGAATCAAGGCAGGACAACAAATTTAGGTGGCTATATTCTACACAATATCATCATGCCAAATAATAAAAATTCAAAAACACGGCGAAGCATATATGACTTCCACTGAAATGAATAGCTCCATCATATTTACTATAAGAAATAGATAAAAGTATGATATCCAAAAACAAGATATGCCATATCAAATAAAATATGCCCACATTAATGTTTTCTAGAGTGTCCAAGATGTGTGCATTAAATATTTGTCTCTTCCAAGAATCCAAAATGAAGGTATATGTGCATATCCATTTTGGATGTAGAGTAGCAATTAAATGAGTAATGCAACACCCCTAGGTGCCACACATTTATCAAACATGACAGTCTTCCACACTACAAATAGCCATCCAACCTTTCCCTTCCTCCTCACCCAACCCAACACATCCAATTCAGTTCATGGAAACCAAAATTGCATCCACTGTGTTAGTCTTGCTCCTCCTCACCCTTGGTAAGTTCACTCACCACTCAAAATGGCTTTATCACTACCGGTTCATAATAAAAGCTGGGTATCACCATTGATTCCTGGAATTCTTCCCAACCTCATATATGGTAATGCTAATTATCTTTTAAATTTGTAGTTAAAACATTGATTCATTTGTGATTTTGTGATGAGCAGATGGTGTGGCGGCTGCCAAGATGTGTCATGATCCAAGCCAAACCTTCAGAGGCTTGTGCGGCCACCCCACCAACTGCATCGCCTGCTGCACCAACGAGGGCTACACAGGAGGCTACTGCACAACTGTTAGACACAAATGCATGTGCACCAAAGCGTGTGGAGGGGAGAGTCCGCCTGATGATCCGCCGTCGGCGATGCCGGCATCGCCAGTGACGACGACAAGAGCCTGATCGCTGAAAATATATATGTTGCAATGGAGAATTAGTGAGATGTACTTGCTGAAATTAATGGATTGCAAACAATAAAGAAAGATGATTCACAGTAGAATTAATGGTCTTGTATAAGGGAGAATTCCCAAGGTCCTGATGTGAATAAAATCGATGTCTATGGATTGAATGAAGTTTCAAGAAATCTTGGGACAAATTTGTAATATCTCAAGCTTTCCATTAATCATACACCGAGAACATTCCCGTCCGAATGCATATGTATTGTAAGGATAAATTAAATATTACATATTATAAACCTAATAAATATCTTATAACAAACTATGCTGATGTAGAAAGCTTGTGAAGAAATCGTAGTTTTGAAAGCATGGCACGAATGATCTGCACATAATCCATTGGAGTTAATCAAAAAAAGAATGGAACCTAGCCATCAAGAGCTTCAGCTTCAGCATCAGCCTATCACCAGTTACCAACTTATTAAGACAGGTTTGGACTTTGTACTTTTTCCTAGCTCATCACTTATGTTATCCCAAGGTACTAAATATGATTCACCCAAGAACCAAGAATCAGGAAGCTGAAGCTCTACCAAACGGGACCTTTGAGCTCATAAAGATCTAACTGGAACAATTGGGTCACTTCAGCCCAAAAAAAAAAGAAGATATGCACACTCATTCTCAAAATATCCATAAGCTTTGCAAACTTATCACCACTATCCAAAACCAAGATGGCATATCTATGTCTTATGCATGGTGATGCAATGTGTCTAAAGTCATAAATGCCAAGACTCCCATAAATATAAATTAGAGTAACAAAGATATACAATTCATTTTAAAATATCACAACAAAAATATGCACATATATCTTTCTAACTCCCTAGCATCCAAAAACAAGATATGCAAATCTGCAAGGTAGCAAGAAATGTAAAACCTATTTCCATGCAAGCCAAAACCCCAGCATTCATACTACCAAAATCGATTCAAGTCAGTTCATCTTGTTTCAGCCATGGAGGCCAAGTTGCAGCTGCAGCAGCCTTGGCCTTGCTCTCCTAACCTGAGTGATCTGCCACCGATGGGGATGGCACTAGAGAAGGCTTGAGTGGACAAAATTAAGCCGCAGAAGTTCTGGTATAAGTTCTATCTGTCAACAAAATCCTGGAATAAGCACAACAAAAGAGAAATTAAGCTTTATGGTTCATAAATATATACACGAGTTAGCATCGTGTGTAAATCTTCAGTAGAAGTATAGCTTCACCATATATACAGGCATTAGGGGGTAAAAAAATGTATCGTGTATTCATGTACATCCACATATAGGCACCTCTCATTTCTACTATTAAGTGAATAATGCAAAAAAGAAAAAGAAAAAGAAGGGGGCAAAAAAATTCACTCTACAGTTATTTGTAACAGGGTTGTGAGCCTTGGTTTTCTGTATCTCCTCAACCACAGAGAGGAACATACTACACTAACAGATGAGAACGCCATGCAAGCACCAGCCAGCCAAGGTGGCATTTGGAGGCCGGTGAATGGGAAGAGTGCTCCAGCAGCAACCGGGATAGCGATGATGTTGTACGCCATGGCAAAGAAGTAGTTCCATCGGATTCGGCTGAACGTCTTCCTTGAGAGGTCAATTGCTGTGATGACATCTTCAAGGTTGTTTCGCACCAGCACATAGTCCGCTGCTTCAATTGCAATGTCTGTTCCTGCACCAATGGCCATTCCGACGTCAGCTGCTGCTAGGGCTGGGGAGTCATTGATGCCATCCCCAACCATTGCAACGACACTCCCATCCTTTTGGAGAGAACGTACGACATCAGCTTTTCCCGCAGGCATAACCTCAGCTCTAACATCCTCAATGCCAACCTGCAGACAACAACTTCAAGCTATTAGGAGTTTGTTTGCATCAAAAGATAAAATAACGATGCTACCTAGCAGCTGAGCAGTAGTGCAGTACAACATGAGAATGCTAACCAACCTCCTTTGCAACTGCTTGTGCAGTCCTCCAGTTGTCCCCTGTAACCATTACTGGATAGATGCCCATCTTTTTTAGGCCTTCAACAACTACAACAGCCTCCCTTTTCAAGGGATCAGTCATTCCAATTGAGCCAATGAGTTCGCTGTCATATGCTACAAGAACTCCTGTCTTCGCGTTCAGTTCGAGGTCTACCAAGAAACTTTCAGCTTCTTCAGGAATATTTATCCCATTTTCAGTTATCAAAGTACGATTTCCCACCTACATAAACAGTTAAGCATTATCAGATTTACTCACGCATAGAAATTTATAAATCAAACATCAGTTACTTAAGAGACAGTCAAGGGGTAACTGACTAGCTGTATCATATTCATATGACTCACCAAGATTTTTTTCCCATTGATCAAACACTGAACCCCTTTGCCAGGCAAGGCAGAAAATTCTGCTACTTCCAGAAGCCACTGGGATAATATCTGTTGTTTTCTTTTCTTGATGTCATCTTTTGATGAGGGGAGTTTGCCAAAGAAATGGAAATGAAATGCGTAATCCAATATAGCTTTTG